TAGTGTGTTTCGGCATTAGCATAGGGTCTGGCACAAAGTAGGTCCTCAATGGGTAGTTTTTTTATTATTGACTGGCTGAATGAATAGAGGAATAGATAGATAGATAGATAGATAGATAGATAGATAGATAGATAGATAGATAGACAGATAGATTTTTTTTTTTTTTTTTTTTTTTTTTGAGACGAGGTCTGGCTCTGCACCCAGGCAGGAGTGCAGTGGCATGATCTCTGCTCACTGCAACCTTCGCCTCCCAAGTTCAAGTGATTCTCATACCTCTCCCTCCCGAGTAACTGTGCGCCACCACGCGTGGCTAATTTTTTTGTATTTTTAGTAGAGATGGGGTTTCGCTATGTTGGCCAGGCTGGTCTTGAACTCCTAACCTCAGATGATCCGCCCACCTCAGCCTCCCACAGTGCTGGGATTAAAGGGGTGAGCCACTGTGCCTGGCCAAATAGAGGAACTGTGAATGAATGAATGAATGAATGAATGAACATCTGACAATGTCATAAGCGTTGGTTCCTGGTCGTGACCTTTGTCATGCTCCTTATCCATCCATCCATAAATTGGCAGAGTGGAGCAGCCAGGGGTATACACTGAAAATCCCTGCTGAACCAGGCAGGAAATGGAAATGTGTGAAATGGCTGGGTGAAAGGCAATAGGGAGTGGTGGAGACTATGGCACATATATAAATGTTTACATTCACAGCATATTTAAACATTGAGTTGAAATTCTTGCATTTGATGTGGAAAGGGACTTCTCAGAGTGGACATCTTATAATTTGACATCGTTCCCCACATTCTGGTTGAACTTTGCATGTCCTGAGGGGCAGTGTAGTTTAACTGAGGTTAAAGAGCAGATGAGTGCCAAAGACCTCTTCCTGAGATGGAGCTGTTGATAACATGAGTCTGCTCATTGCTTCTAGAGCCACCTACATGTTACCAGGCTCCTAGTAAATGGGCAAGGTCCAGCCATGGCTGGGGAGACCGGACTTGAGCCCTGGACACACCTATGCTCCCAAAGCAGGGAAAATGCCACAGAGTCGGTAAGGGGAGTCACTGTGTGAGCATTAACTGGCCAGGGTATGGCCCCTGCAGGGCTCCAGAAGGTGGTTTACCATTGGCTATTTGCCCAGAGGTGAGCTGGGAGGTGCGATAGACAGTTTTGGCCTCATTTTACAGATGGGGAGAAACTCTGAGAGGTCATCTGACCTCCCCAATGTCACAAAGTGGGTGTATGACAGAGCCATCATATCATCATATGAGCCCAAATCTGATTTTGAAGCTCATGCTCTATCAATTACAGCAGTGTCCCACCCTTTCAGGGATTATGGACCCCTTTAGTTGCCATGGAGACTGTACACTTCCTCTATTGGTGGTACTGTAACCTGCAAGCTGGTCTAGATTCTTCAAGAGTCAACCAGGGCAACATAAGAATTCCAGTTTTATTATTTTAAAGCCACTTCCAGATGTTTGGGTTTTCTCTCCAAGCTGGAAAAATGTTATTCACAAGAGTTTACCTTTAGTCTCAACCTCCCTTTGAGAGTGAAATTCTTCCACTGCTGAGAAAGTTACTTATTTATTTATTTTGAGAAGGAGTCTTGCTCTGTTGCCCAGGCTGGAGTGCAACAATGTGATCTCAGCTCACTGCAACCTCCGCCTCCCAGGTTCAAGCAGTTGCTGAGAAAGTTTAAAAGTGTATGTTGCAAGTTTTTTTTTTTTTTTTTTTTTTTTTGAGCTGTAGTCTCGCTTTGTCACCCAGAAGGGAGTGCAGTGGTGTGATCTCCGCTCACTGAAAGCTCCGCCTCCCGGGTTCCTGCCATTCTCTTGCCTCAGCCTCCCCCTGAGTAGCTGGGACTACAGGCACCCGCCACCACGCCCGGCTAATTTTTTTGTATTTTTAGTTGAGACAGGGTTTCACCGTGTTAGCCAGGATGGTCTTTATCTCCTGACCTCACGATCTGCCCACCTCGGCCTCCCAAAGTGCTGGGATTACAGGCGTGAGCCACCGCACCTGGCTGCATGTTGCAAGTTTTGAAGGTGTTCAGTGAGAGTGGGAAGGAAAGTTTTTGGTATTTCTGAGGGAAGCAGCACCTGCTCCCAAGGAGCTACGGCCCTCTAGCTCTGCATGACCATCTCTGTTGGCCTGGGAACCCGTCACAGGCTTTCTGTTCCTCCTCAGAAGGACAGATAGAACAGGCTGGGGTGGAGCAGGTGCAGGGTCCTCTGCTCCTTTTATGTTCTCACCTTTGACCCAGGCTGTTTTGAGGGGCTGGTGTCCCTTGAGGGCCTCTTGGGGTCTTGGAGTCACTGCTCATACAACCCATATGGCCCAAGGCCAGCCTCTTTGCAGCACCATTTCACTGTGAGTGGCTCACAGCCATGACCCTGCAATCCTGACCCTCAGAGAAGGTGCTCCTTCTTTCCCACAGGCCAGGCTGTGTCTTCTTCTTATTTGTGTGTATTAAATATCTGGTCTTCCTCACCTGCACCCCTCACAGAGGCTGAGGCTTCGAGAACTCTTGCTCCCCTTCCTCTCCATGGCTCCCAGAAGGAGGTCAGCTCATCAGTGGGGCACACGGCCTTTGAGTCTGCCTTTTGGTTGACTCTCCAGCACACATGTTTAATTTTTTTGTCTGTGGCTTTTTTCTTTACTTTTTGGGCTTGGGGTGGAGAAGAGAGAAGGGAGAGAAGGACACAGAAATGGCCAGCTCTTGCATTGCTGCTAGGTGATCCACCTTGCCAAAGGAGTTCCTGGTGAGGGTCTGACACGGCACGGAGTTCCCAGTGTGGACGTGTTAGCCCTGCAGCTAACACATCTCCAAAGCCTCTCCACTGCTGTTCTGAACACCCCAGCCTTGGCCCTTGATGCCACATTTGCCACCCCTGTCTCGGCTCCCTTCCTTCTGTCTCTTAATGGCCCTCTCTAATGGCATTTTCTCCTGCTTACTGAATCTCTGGTTTTTCATTGCTCTCAAGATAAACCCCAAACACTGAGAACTTTCCAGGCCCTTCCCTAGGTCCCGGCTGAACCCTCTGCTTCCCTTTTGTCCTGATGCTGCTGTCCAGTTGCTGACTTCTCCTTCAGCACTCATGCTTCCTGCCTGGTCCTTGCTACATCCTTACTTCACCCCAACACACACACACACACACCACACACATGCCCCTCACCACACACTCCAACACACACACACACACACACACCACACACTCCAACACACACACACACAATCACACAGACACCACACACACAAACACACCACAAATGCATCACACACACAACCACACACCACATATCACACACCGCATCACACACAACGCACACAACACACCACACACCACATTACACACATACTCCACACACACCACACATCACACATGCCACACACACACCATACATACCACAAACAATATCCACAAACCACACATCCACCATACAGCACACATACACCACATACACACACAGACCACATGCCCCAACACACACATGCATCACACAAACACCACACACCGTCTACACACACACAAATAACCCACACACAAACCACACACCATACAAATGCATCACACACACCACACATCATATACATCACAAACACACACCACACATACAACCATACACCACATATCACACACACCACACACAATACAACACACAACACATTACACACATACACCACACACCACACATCACACATGCCACACACACACATACCATACATACTGCAATCCACACATCCACCATCTACCACACATCCACAACACACATCACACACTGTATAAACTACACACATGCAAGAGACGTACATATTGCAGACACACCACAAAGTCCATACCGTCACACACACACTACACATCACACACACATCACATATACACATCCTATACCCTCATATACACATCACACACACACATTGCCCACCATACACACACACCATTCACCACATACACCACACACACACACACACACACACACACACACACACCCTGCGCCCCTTCTCTGGCTGGCCTCTGCTAAGTTTGAGCAGTCTTTGCATTCCCTCTCATCTTCCACTCCTTCTCCTGCAGGCCCAGCCCTCTGTTCTTACCTGGGTGCCCACAACTTTGTGGAACAATGATTGCCTCTCAGACATCAGGGACCATATTTGTTCATCTCCGAGCCTCAGAACCCAGCTCAGGGCCTGACAATTACTACCCCGGGATAGATGAACATGGAGATTAAGGACCTGCTCAGAGGGCAAGTAGGCAGGTGTGAAGTGCAGCAAAGGGCCTGGAGCACAGAGAGGCTGGGTTCAGGGAAGTCCCCGCCTCCCCTGCTCCACCTGAAGGGGTGTTTATGCCCGTGGTGAACACAGCACTGCAGAGCCTGGGAACCAATGAGTGAATGAGTGAGCCTGAGAGTGGAACATATGGAAGGGATGTGAAAAGTCTGGCCTGCGACAAGACAGACTCTGACTTGCCCTGGGTACCACTGTCCCCAGAGCCCTGGGCCAGGGAACCTCTGCCCATCAGCCCAGAAGGGGCCTGGCGTTCTCCTACGCGGCTGTGGAGGGTGCAGCATTGGGGCTTCCAACCTTGCTGTGAGAATCGGATTAGAAGGGGGCTTTGTTGAGAGATAAGCTGCTCAGACCTGAGCCATCTGTGCTCTCTGAGCCTCAGCCCTGCAGCGCTGTGTTCACCGTGGGCATAAACACCCTTCCCCAGGATGGGGAAGGAGAAGCAAGGATTTCCCTGAACCAAGTCCCTCTGTGTGCCAGGCCCTTTGCGGGCACTTCACACCTGGCTATTTGCCCTCTGAGTAGGTCCTGTGATCTCAGTTTTCTAGAAAAGACCCAACATGCTCAGCTCACACAAAACACCCTTAGCAGGGCAGGGCTTCGAGCCCTGATGTGCCGGACCCAGGGCCTCTGTCCCTTCTCCTCACATACTTACATTGTGTTGTGGCCAAGAGTGGCCTGCAGGGAAGGCTTTAGGGACAGGTTTCTTCTAGCAGAAAGTTGTGCCTCAGGCTCTATCACTGACCTTGTCAAACAAGGATGTGTCTGCATTGAGTTGATTTATTTATTTATTACTTGTTTGTTTGGGTGTTCTTTCCAGCAGACTCATGTCAGGAGGCTAGGAAGGGATTCCTTGGGGGGGTCACTGGATGCTGGTGGCTAAATGCCAGGAAGCTGAATGGACCTGAAGATGGAGGAGACTCTGCAGTCTTAGTCAGCCACCCTTGGGTGCTTGCTACCCTGCACCCTAGCAGGATTGATGGTCTCTGGATGTGTAGCTGTGACCAGTCATGGTGGAATGCTCGGCTGTTTGCACTGGAGAGACCCACATGGTGGCGACTGAGGCCCTGTGGTTGAGGTTGGCTCATGATAACTCTGAAAGTTGATGGCACAATTGAGACAAGGACATGGAGTTCTTGAACTTTCCCAGGGTCCTTGCAGCCCAAGATGAAGCCCTCCAACATTGTAGCTCACTGTTGTGAAGGCTGAAAGGGGAGACAGGAGGCTGCTGGGTACCTCAGGTGCCAGGTGTGAGGGTCTCCGCTGTCTGGAGTCTTGCTTTGGGAGTGCTACACCTGTGGGAGTGCCCCAGGCACCACCCAAGGGCGGGGATCTAGCTCAAGCTTGCATGGTTTGCAGAGTCTCACATGATGTCCTGGGAGGAGCAATGAGTAGACAAGAGGGACAAGGACAGGAAGGTGGCAAGGTCAGAGCCAGGTTTGGGGGGAGAGAGAGGAAAACACAATTAAGATGCATTTTCAAACACATTAAAAAAAAAAATCAAAGCAAGAATTAGATCTTATCCTTTTCCCTAGAGGCCTAGGAGTGGCTTTTCATGGCAAAAATGACCAGCCCAGGTTATTTCAGTCCCATCAAAGGGAATCTAATTGATTGGTAGAAGATGAAGAGAAGGCGGCTAATCCTAAGTGGACCCCACCTAAGAGCCTCTGGTCTGGGAGGCCTGTTTCTAATGACTCTGGTAGGAGGCTCTGCACATGGATGTGTGCCCTTGGGACCCCTGGCTGTCTCCTTCCAGATGGCACATGCCAGGCAATGTGTCCCAAAACTACATTTGCATCTTTTGACAAACCAGTCCCATTTATGGGAGGAATCATCCACAAGAAAGAAAAAGCTGCATGCATTAAACTATTCTTTATAGGGTTGTTTTTTTTTTTTTTTAATTAAGAGAGATAGGAGTCTCGTTATGTTGCCTAGCCTAGTCACAAACTCCTGGCCTCAAGTTGTCCTCCTGCCTCAGCCTACCAAAGTACTGGGATTACAGGCATGAGCCACCATGCCTGGCCCATAGTTTTGTTTTTAATTGCAGAAAAAAAAAAAAAATGCCTGGAAACAATCTGAATATCCTATAATAGAGAACTTGTTCATTAGTAATGATAATTTGACCAGGCGCAGCGGCTCACACTTGTAATCTTAGCACTTCAGGAGGCTGAGACAGGTGGATCACTTAAGCCCTGGGGTTCAAGAACAGCCTGCACCACATGATGAAACACCATCTCTACCAAAAATACAAAAGTTTGCCGGGCATGGTGGTGCACACCTGTGGTCCTAACTACTCAGGAGGCTGAGGTGGAAGGATCACCTGAGCCTGGGAGGTCGAGGCTGTGGTGAGCCATGATTAAGCCACTGCACTCCAGCCTGGGTGACAAAGTGAAACCTTGTCTCAATAAATAAATAAATAAATAAATAATAAAATAAAAAGTTAATGATAATTCATGATGATGGAAATGTTTATGGGGACAGAACCCTGTGGTTATGACCACTGCGTAGCAACAAGAAGAAAAACGCTTCAGACTTAAATTGAAAAATGAAAAAATGAGATATAATTAATTAAAAATAAAACCAGGTAAACATGTTTGTACGGAAAGCAAAGGACACACAAGTGAATGAGAAGGGTTACTAAGTTATGACCATGAGATTACTTTTTTCTCCTTCTGTTTTCAGATTATTACTATATGCAATGTGGTGTGGTAATTAAGATCATGAAATCTGAAGAGAGCCAGATTATTTGAATTCAAAGCCTGGATCTACCACTTACTTACTGGCTGTGGGACCTGCAACAGGTTACTTAACCTTTCTGTGCTTCGGTCCCTCATTTGTAGAAGTGACAAGAGTAATAGTGTCTCACTTTTAGGATTATCGTAAGGATCAAATGAGTTAGCGGATGTAAGTGCCACACCTAGTAATTGCTATATAAGCACTAACTATACAAAGAAATACATTTAATTATAATTCATTCATCCACTCATGTCTTAACCACAAATAAGTAATAATATTGGTGTGGTTTTCTGGTTTGTTTTTTTTTTTCCTATTGGTAAGTGCTTTGATCTTCCCAGAGTGATAATCTTAGTAATATATAACATAACTTACTCTTTTCCATTAATATCATTTCATGAGCATTTTCCACCAGCGTTTCTGGTGGAGACACATGATTTCCTGACCCCTGATCCTCCTCCACCTCCTTTCCTCGCCTCAGATCCCAAGACTATCTTCTCTGGCTCTTACAATAAATTTTGTGGTTGACTGGTTGCAGATATGGTTGCAATTCTCCGTCTCTCCTTTGCAGTTTCTCCCATCATGATATGGAGTCTATTTGCCTGCTCCTAAAATCTGGACTGGCCTTGGAACTTGCTTTGGCCAGAGTGAATGTGGTAGAGATGAAGGCGGGAAGTTCAGAGCCCATATCTCAAGAGGCCTTACGTGTTTCCATTTATATAAGTGGAACTCTGCAGACACCATGTGAACATTCTGGGCTCGTCTGCAGGGAGCGTGGAGGACCACATGGAGGAGAGGCTAGTTGTTCCAACCAAGACCATTCTACACTCACAGACACCAAAAATATGAGAGACCCAGCCAAGATCAGTAGAGCTGCCTATCCAAATCTCAGAAGAATGAGTCCAGCCAAGACTAGAAGAAATACCCAGCTGACCTGTAGACTCACGGAAAATAATAAATACTGCTTTGGGTCACTAAAATTGGGAGTGGGTTGTTCTGCAGCTATGGCTAACAGATATAATCACAAGGAGCAAGACCACGGGTCTGAGGCCCCTCTGATTGAGCCACTGGGCAGGATGGGCTGCCAGTCCTCTTCACCTCCTCCTTTCAAGGGTCTATTTTCTGGGCACTCATGTCCATCCTGGTATCGTTGTTGCTGAAAACCTCACGTCCTCAATGGGTAACATTTGTCCGTGCAGTCTGAGCCCCTTCCTGAAGGCAGAGACAACCCTATGGTGAGGGAGGAACCTCGCTGTGCCCCTTCCAGCCTGAGTCTCCCACTATGGGCTCAGCCATTTTGCTGGGTTTCAAAAACAGGGAGGTGGCATGGAGCTCTCAGGACCTAGGCAGCCTCTCAGGCTCCAGGCTTCCCTCAGGACCTCCCAGTCTTCCCAAAGAGCTTCCTCACAGTAGGCCCAGGATGCATAGAAGGAAGGTGGCCTGACTGAGGCTTCAGGACCATAGCACTTCCTGGCTGGTGGGGCCTTCACAGCCATCATTCTGACCCCAGCTTAAGCCTAAGCAGTCCCTGGGCTTGGGGCTAGTGCTTGATGCCCATAAAGAGCCAACAGAGTCAGTCAGCACACTGAAACTTCCTTTAAAAAAAACCAGGCCAGATGCAGTGGCTCATGCCTGTAATCCCAGTACTTTAAACACTTTGGGAGGCCAAGGCAGGAGGGTTACTTGAAGCCAGGAGTTCGAGACTAGCCTGGGCAGCATAGTAAGACCCTGTCTCTACAAAAATAGAAAAGTTAGCTGAGTGAGATGGCATGCATCTGTAGTCCCAGCTACTGGGGAGGCTGAAGAGGGAGGATCACTGGAGCCCAGGAATTTGAGGCTGCAGTGAGCTATGATTGTGCCACTGCACTCCAGCCTGGGTGACTGAGCAAGATCCTGTTTCTTAAAAAACAACAACAAAAAGACTAGCCGCTCTACAGATTGCTATAAATTTTCTAAATACTTTTTAAAAAGTCTTTTTAAAGTAAATTGGTAAATGTAATAAATTCAGCTGTGGGGAAAAGAAAGAAAGATCAGACTGTTACTGTGTCTATACAGAAAGAAGTAGACATAAGACTCCATTTTGTTCTGCATTTGAGATGCTGTTAATCTGTGACCCTACCCCCGACCCTGTCCTTGCAAGAGACATGTGCTGTGGTGACTCAAGGTTTAAAGGATTTTGGGCTGTGCAGGGTGTGCTTTGTTAAACAAGTGCCTGAAGGCAGCTTGCTGGTTAAAAGTCATCACCATTCTCTTAATCTCAAGTACCCAGGGACACGCACACTGCCAAAGGTCGCAGGGACCTCTGCCTAGGAAAGCTAGGTATTGTCCAAGGTTTCTCCCCATGTGATAGTCTGAAATATGGCCTCGTGGGAAGGGAAAGACGTGATTGTCCCCCAGCCTGACACCCGTGAAGGGTCTGTGCTGAGGAGGACTAGTACAAGAGGAAAGAAGGCCTCTTGGCGGTTGTTGGCAGTTGAGATAGAGAAAAGCATCTGTCTCCTGCCCATCCCTGGGCAATGGAACATGTCGATGTAAAACTCGATTGTGTGTTCTGTTTACTGAGAAGGGAGAAAACCGCCTTAGGGCGAAAGGTGGGACTTGCTAGCGCAATGCTGCTCTTTATGCACTAAATAGGTTTATGGAGATGTTTACATACGCATATCAAGGCACAGCACTTTTCCTTAAACTTATTCATGTCACAGAGAACTTTATTCATATGTCTTACTGCTGACTTTCTCCCTATAATGATCCTATTATCCTGCCAGTTCCTTTTCTTTAAGATGGTAAAGATAATTATCAGTAAATACTGAGGGAACTCAGAGACCGGTGCTGGCGTGGGTCCTCTGTATGCTGAGCTCCGGTCCCCTGGGCCCACCTTTTCTTTCTCTATACCTTGTCTCTGTGTCTCATTTCTTTTCTCAAGTCTCTCGTTCCACCTAAAGAGAAACGCCCACAGGTGTGGAGGGGCAGGCCACCCCTTCATTCAGCAAATCAGCCATTTAGCATGTTGATTTTCGAAGATGGTTTTATCACCTTGACCCAGAGTCCCGGGCCTTCCACCTATTGTCATCCCCATGGGCCTACCACAGTGCTGAGATATAAAGCAGTGTTCAAGAAAGACACCACAGAATGAGGAGTAGTCAGTATTTAGCAAGTGTGTGTGTCATAGCTGCTGTTGTTGGCTCAGGAACATCCTCCAGGCAACCCTGAGTTAATTTGTGTTTCTACAGACAGACGCATGGGCTTTGTCATACATCAGTGACCTGGAGCACACGAGGCCAGATTTCGGGAGCCCGGCACACTCAGCAATCGTGCTGTTGCTTACATCACACCCTGGGAACACTGACTCATCTTCTTCCTCCTTGTTGAACCCCAGCATCAGTCCATAAGACAGAAGGTGCAACCACCAAGCCTGGACAAGAACGTGCAGGCTTTGGTTGTCAGTGTTGGAATTGCTCATCTCCTGTGCCAGCAGCCCTGGCAGGGCTGGGTTTGTCTCCATAGCAACAGCAGGACATGTTTACAGGGCACCGTGTGGCAGGCTTGATGCCAAGTCCTATATAGACGTGACCCCATTGACTGCTCATCATGGTCCAGTGAAGGAGATTCTATTATCACTCCCTCTTCACAGAGAGGGAGACTGAGGCTTAGCAGTGCTGGGTGACTTGCTCCAGGGCACACAGCCAGCGGGCGGTGGAGCTGAGATCCCAACCCAGAATGGCTGTTTCCTTCCGGGAAGTCAGCCATCTGGCCTGCACGCGCATGTCTTCATACACAGGCTGCAGGAAACTTTCTGTCTACAGGGGAAGAAGTTTGTTGTAGTGGAAAGAGGTGGGAAGATCCCAGTTTCTGGCTCTACCTCAGTTTCTTTCTCAGTCTCAGTTTCCCAATCTATACAATGGTGACAAGACCTCCCCACGGTGGTCTCAAGGATTTCAATGAGATCACATGACAAGGACCCCATACATATGTTTGTTTTGCTCTTCTTGTTCTAAGTTGTTCATAAATTTCTACAATGGAATTTTAAAAACATACACACAAAAAGAAATTCAGTCTCAGCACAGGAGCCACACGCCTAGATTTATTCTCCCGAAGCAACAAAACTGAGAAAACGGATGCACGTGTACTTGCACAGGAGTTAACCTGGCCACGTCTCCTGTGCACTGTGTGTGCTTGAGTGTATATCTGTCCATCTGTGTGTGTAGTGCGTGTGTGCTGTGTGTAGCACAGGAGTGTAGTGTGTGTAGTTGTGTAGCGTGTGTGTGCTTGTGTGTCTGTGTGTAGTGTCTGTGTGTGTAGTGTGGTGTGTGTCTGTGTGTGAATGTATTTGTGTGTGTCTGTGTGTATAGTTGTGTAGTGTTACGTATTTGTGTGTACTTATGTGTGTTTGTGTGTATAGTTGTGTGGTATGTGTTTGTGTTTGTATGTAGACGTATTTGTGTATGTGTCTGTGTGGTATACGTGTGTGTGCTGTGTGCATGTGTCTATGTGTGTATGATTGTGTAGTGTGTATATGCATGTAGTGTGTTTGTGTGTATAGTGTCTCTGTGTGTAGTTGTGTAGTGTGTGTGTGTCCATGTGTCTGTATGTATAGTGAGTGGTGTGTGTGTATAGAGTGCATGTAGTATGTGTCTGTGTGTGTAGTTGTGTGGTGTGTGTTTGTGCTGTGTGTATGTGTCTATCACTATACTGTGTATTGTGTGTATATGCTGTGTGTCTGTGTGTAGTTGTGTAGTGTGTATGTGTCTGTGCATCTGTAGTGAATGATATGAGTCTGTGTGCACATGTATTTGTGTGTGTGTGTGGTTGTGTGGTGTGTATTTACTTATGTGTATAGGTATTTGTGTTTGTGTGTTTGGGTTTGTTGTGTGTGTGTGCGTGGTGGGAGCTCACACACTCCCTCAACTTCCTGCCTCTGAGCAGTCGGTGCAAGAGAGGGGAAGAGGAGGGGTAGGGTGTGTGAGCTCTTGGGGCTCACCTTCACCTCTCTCTGGAAGGTTTTCACCTTCTTTCACAGAACCAGGGGCCTGGGGGAGCAGAGCCACAGCCTGCGTTCACCCTGCATCCTTCCTGGGCTAGCACCTCGCACTGGTTCAGCAAGAGGTGTGTGAGAGCTGGTTATTTTCACCCTGGCCAGCTGGGTGTGATTCCAGTTGGGAAGAAGAGGATGTCAACATCTCCGGAAGAAGGTCTGCAGCTGCTCCTGTCTTGCTTCTTCCCTCTGTCCTTCCCCTGCATCACAGCTGAGCATCCCCTTGGTAGCTGGGAAAGGCATGGAGGCTCCCGTGCTGGTCATGGGCCCCACGGGCCATGGTCCCAGAGAAGCAAGTGGAGCTGGGACCTCCTCAGCCTCCTGAGAGAGGGCACTGGGGCTGCAGAGGACAGGCAGGAGCCCCAGGTTGGTGTCAGGCTGTCTGACTCAGGCTCCACAGCCTCCCCTTGGAGATCTGCCTGTCGCACACACGCTCCAGCAGCCTGGCTCTTCCATCTAGGCTGGGCAACTCCAGTGAATGCCTGCCCTGGCCTGGAGCCCCTGTGCAGGGAACTGGGTGCCCGCAGCCCTCCTGGGCTTGGGCCTGTCCGCCACAGGCCTCCCAGTGCCCCCAGGCTCAGAGAGAGGACAGCCTTGCTCTTCTGGGCCTCATCCTGGTCATGCAGCCTGGATGCTGCCTGCTGGCATCTCTGGGACTGCCTTACCTCCTGCCAAGCTGTGGCTCTCTGAACCCTCACGCCCACTGCCCTGCTGGTGACCTGCATGCTGGTCTGAGCCTCAGGTCCACAAGGTTCACAGACAGCCTTGGTCCTTAGCTTCTGGGAGCACCTCACAAGCCCTGTTGCCCTCTGTCTTCCATACCCACCTCTTGCCCTTCACCCTTGCTGCCTCCTCTGCCTGCATCCCCCACCTCCACAGTCCTCAGCCAGGCTCCTGGCCTTTGTTCAGGTCTCATAAATGTCACCTCCTCAGACACCTCCCACCTAAAGTAAGGGTGTTTCCACACAACGTTTTCTAATTGCACCCTGCTTTCTTTCCATGGTAGAATGTATTCAGTTTAAAATGATTAATTTGTTGACTTTTTGGGGGGAGTTATCAAATTAATCAACAAAACAAAGATGTCCTCCCAGCCAGAGCCTGATGCTAGCCATGGGTGGGGGCTGATCAGCACGTGTGGCTGGTCCCACGGCCACTGCAGAACTTCTCCCCCACAGTCTGGACGACGTGCGGGTACTTACCTTTCGGGTTTGTCAAGTTGGGGCTAGGGACTCTGTGGCAGCAGAGCCTGGCTCTCCTGCTTGGCCAGGGCTTGGCAGGACGCCTCTTCCCTGAAGGTGGACACAAAGGAAGAGAGACTGTCCTTAGCAGGCTTGTCTGTGAGTGAGTGAGCTTCCCCTTCCAAGGCACAGGGCTCAGGAATATTTATCCGGAGAAACTCAGGATGAGCCAGGCTATGAGAGGTCCCAGGGAAAGGGTGGGCCTTGTTGTGATTTACTTTTCAGAAATAGCAGTGTTGAGAGACACAATGGCCCCAAAACACATCCTTCTCAGGTTTCTGTCCAATAAGTAGTTTCTCTGACATAATAATTCTCCCCTTGGCAATCTAGTCTAGAAAATATGCCTGAGCCGGGTGTGGTGGCTCATTCCTGTAATCCTAGCACTTTGGGAGGCTGAGGCAGGCGGATCACTTGAAGTTGGGTGTTCGAGACCAGCCTGACCAACAAGAAACCCCATCTCTGCTAAAAATACAAAATTAGCCTGGCATGATGGCGCACTCCTGTAATCCCAGCTACTCGGGAGGCTGAGGCAGAAGAATCACTTGAACCTGGGAGGCAGAGGTTGTGGTGAGTCAAGATCATGCCATTAAACTCCAGCCTGGGCAACAAGAGCAAAAACTTCGTCTCAAAAAAAAAAAAAAAAAAAAAAGAAAGAAAGAAAGAAGAAAATAAGCTTGAATAAAGGACATATTTTATGTACACATATACCTTTTACCACATAATTAAAATGTGCAAAGTAGGCTGAGTGTGGTGGCTCATGCCTGTAATCCTAGCACTCTGGGAGGCCAAGGTGGGAGGATGGCTTGAGTCCAGAAGTTCAAGACCAGCCTGGGCAACATAGAGAGACCTTGTCTCTACAGAAAATTTTAAAAATTAGCAGGGCATTGTGGTGCACACCTGTTTTCCCAGTTACTGGAAAAGCTGAGGTGGGAGGATCGCTCGAGCCCTGGAAGTCAAGGCTGCATTGAGCCATGGTCATGCCACTGCACTCCGACCTGGACAACAGAGCAAGATCTTGCTTCAAAAAAAGAAAAGCACACAATTGTGAACTATCTAAATGTCTAAGCATGTAAATTCATCATAGTACATTCACTTGACAGCAAGTTATACCTGAAAATATCAGTTGATTAATGCTACTTCAACAATCTGCCACAGATAGTTCTAAACGGATAGGAAACTTTATGGGGGAAGATATCTATCCTCATTTAATTGTCACTAGGGTATCACTGGCAACCTCCAACATGTCCAAAAATAGAGGTCTGATAAATTACATGTCATGGGCTGTGTTTATGAGGAATTCTAATCACGGTTTTCCTTATTATATATGTGGCACATTTTCATTGCAGAAACTTTGTAAAACAAACACTTGTTATAATCCCACTACTCAAAGATGGCTGCTGCTGACACTGTGTTGTAAATGCTTCCAGAATATCTTCAATCCTAAGTATTTTGGGTGATTATAACAATATATATAGTGATAAATAAAAAAGATATAACCTTGAACATACAGAGGTACATCAATTAAGTTTTTAAAATTCTACATGCAAGGAAATCAGCAAAATGTTGAACATGGCTACTCTTGAATCATGGAATTATGAGTGTTTCTCTTCTCCTTATATATTTCTATAGCTCCAGCTCCCCCCACCAAAAAGTTTAAATAACCATAACCACTAAAACAAAAAACAAGTATAGGCAGTCTCTAGAGGGTTAGACAAGAGAAAAACGGATTGAAACACTCAGCTATCTGAATCAAGAAAGGCAGCCAGGCGAGGTGGCTCACGCATGTAATCCCAGCACTTTGGGAGGCGGAGGTGGGTGGATCATGAGGTCAGGAGTTCAAGACCAGCCTGGCCAACATGGTGAAACCCCGTCTCTACTAAGAATGGCATGAACCCAGGAGGCAGAACTTGCAGTGAGCCGAGATCACACCACTGCACTCCAGCCTGGGCAACAGAGCAAGACTCCATCTCTCAAAAAAAAAAAAAAAAAAAAAAAAAAAAGAAAGAAAAAAAGGCAACAGAGCTAAATATTCATATCTATAGAGGTAAAAAGATGGTGTCCCCTTCTTCTAAACATGCATAAACATACCCCACCTCTCCACCGCACACACCTTCATTCCAGCTGCTCACAGATATTTTCTGTGCATGAGGTTTTGGGATGTTCAGACTTAGATGGTCTACTAATTAATGTATTCATTTGCCCAACACTAATTTACTCTGTTCCAAGCATGATACAAGTACAAGAGAGTGGCTCCAGAAATTCTAGATAGGTAGGACTTAAGCACAGTAATCTAGCTGAGAGGTTTTGTATGTGTGTTCGCATGGTGAATACACCACTTTACTTAGGCTGGGTATGTATTTGGGGGTACAGGGGCTGTGAATGGAGCCCCCATGCCACCTGCAGGCAGTCCTGAGCCCCAAACTTATAGGTTTAGGAGCAAGAGCCTGTCTTTCCAGGGTTCAGGACTGCCTGCCAAGGCCTGCCTTCCAACAATTCCTGATCAGTGTCTTCCCAGATGCTGAAATCCTGCTCAGGGACCTGCAGTCCTGAGCCCCAAACTTATAGGTTTAGGAGCAAGAGCCTGTCTTTCCAGGGCTCAGGACTGCCTGCCAAGCCTGCCCTTCCAACAATTCCTGATCAGTGTCTTCCCAGATGCTGCTGATCAGTGTCTTCCCAGATGCTGAAATCCTGCTCAGGGACCTGCACCCTGGGGGCTGCCCTACCTTCTGTGGAGAAGACGGAGAAGCAGAGAAGCAGGATGCAGAGCAGGCTGGAAAGGATTAGAAGTCTCATGGTGAGAAGGCAGACTCTCACGTCCTGGGAAGGGAGCAGTGCTGCAGAAGTCCTCCTTGGGGCCACCTTGGACATTTATAGAGTCATAGAGAGGCGTTTCCCAATGGGCAGGGCCCTGGTAGCCTTGCAATTCTCCTAAACGGTGAAGTCAGCCCCTCCCAAGAGGAAAACCAGCCTTTCGAGATGCAGTTAGTAACCTGTAACACAGAAAGCTGTAAATGCCCAGCCCAGAGAGGTTTCAGCACTGGCTTCAGTGGTGAGAGCAGGAACCAACTGTCCAGGAAAAACTACTGTCTAGAGTTGAACGTTAACTTTTAGTGTCAGTAATCATCCTATCAAATGCAGCTCTTCCTGCTCATTCCTCAGCTGTGTCTGGGAAAAGGATCATAAAACCCTTGCAGGTTCTCATCCAAGGATGAGCCTTGAGTAACCAATGAGATGTAGGGAGCACAGGCCCTGGAGTCAGATGACCTGGGTTTGAGTCCTGGCTCTGCTACTTAGCAGTGTGACCTCAAACTTGTCCTTGAATGTCTTTGGATCGGCTTCCCGTCTGTGAAATGGGCACAGGACTATCTCTCTTACAAGCCTGTATGAGGCATGTATGAGAAGCCATCTGCATCAAGGTGTTCACACAGCTCTTAAAGGAGGTGAGGCCACGGCTGGACTTTGATGTTTAAGACGGTGATGAAATGAGAAGGCACTTCAAGTACAGGATCACACTGAACAAGGCCTGGAGGAGAGGAGCCTCTGCCCAGGGCAGGCATGGGGAAAGTCTGACCACAGGTGCAAGAGACTCAGACGCCACCCATTCACTGGACATGTGACCCGGGCTGAGCCGTGCGCTTGGCTCCAGGGACACAGAAGACACTGTGCCTTGCCTCAAGGAGCTCCTGTTGGTGGAGGAAGCTGTGCAGACGAGTGACTGTCTCACAGCATTGTAAGTGCTGTCTATACTGAAGGAAGGGGAGGTAGGTTGCTCAGTCAGATGGTGGGGGAGGGAGGGGACGCTCTGCAGAGATGGACTGAGATTGGGTGGGTGATGGCCTGGCATGGTAGGTCAGGTCATGGTGGGCTTCCTGGACCAGCAGAAGAATCAGACTGGCAAAAGGGAGGCCAGGAGGTCCTTTAGCCAGGTAGAGACTGATTCCAGGAGTGCTTTGGGCTCCTTTTCCATCAGAGCGGGTCTGAGTTCCCTTTAATAATAGTGCATGGGTGCCTGAACACTTGCTAGGCTCTGGCCTCAGATGGTGTCAGAGGATCCAGAGCCCCTGGGCCTATGAGAGATGGTGGGTAGGAGGAATATTTTTTGGGAGAAATGAGGATGTTTCCCATGCACCCTGATGAGCCTCTGCCTGGGCTGCTCTCAAACCTCCACTCCCAAACCAGCTCTACTCATCCTTCCAGCCCCAGCTCAAGAATCTCCCTACCTTGAAGCCTTCCCTGGCCCCTGGTACAGGTAGTGTTAATGCATGCTATGACCTTTACCTCAGCCTGCTGTTTCCCACTGGATGGTGAGCTCCTGGAAACTCAAGACCTGAGCCCAGGGCAAATCATGGGCAGAATCCCTGTGAGTTGCGGCAGGCCATGTGAGCCAGTTGCACCTTTATGCCTGGTTGAGCCTCTCTGGTCAGCTGTGAGCAGTGCAGAGCTCTGCATTGTCTTGGGTGTGCTGAAGGTCCACTGTGACACCTGCCCATCTGGCCCCAGGAAGCTGTCATCTGGGAGGTCAGACTTGCGCAAGAGGAGGCAACGCAGCCCAATGCTTAGAGGATATAAGAATTGAGGAGCGTGCAAATTCCCTTCCAGCAATGAGAATGCGAAGATGCGTGGGAGGTTGTTTCCATGTTGTTGAGCATGGATTGGGGGTTGTCCCTGGCTGAAGAAAAAGTGTGAATTTTGGCTGGGTGCGGTGGCTTACACCTGTAATCCCAGCACTTTGGGAGGCTGAGGTGGGTGGATCACGAGGTCAGGAGACCAGTCTAACCAACATGGTGAAACCCTATCTCTACTGAAAATACAAAATTAGCCGGGCGTGGTGGTGCATTCCTGTAATCCCAGCTACTCAGGAAGCTGAGATTTCTTGAACTCGGGAGTCGGAGGTTGCAGTGAGCCAAGATCGTGCCACTGCACTCCAGCCTGGGCGACAGAGCGAGACTCCGTCTCAAAAAGAAAAAGAAAAAGAAAAAAAAGAAAAAAATGTGAATTTTGTGTCATGCACAGAACTGTGCTTGCCCTTGTGACGTGGTGCCCACTTGTCCTTTGCCTTAATAAGGATGAGCTTCTTCTTCTTCTTTTTTTTTTTTTTTTGAGACGGAGTTTCACTCTTGTTGCCCAGGCTAGAGTGCAATGGCACAATCTCGGCTCACCACAACCTCTTCCTCCCGGGTTCAAGCAATTCTCCTGCCTCAACCTCCTGAGTAGCTGAGATTACAGGCATGTGCCACCATGCCTGGCTAATTTTGTATTTTTAGTAGAGACAGAGTTTCTCCATGTTGGTCAAGCTGGTCTTGAACTCCCGACCTCAGGTGATCCGCCTGCCTCGGCCTCCCAAAGTGCTGGGATTACAGGTGTGAGTCACAGCGCCCAGACTAAGGATGAGCTCCTAACCAAAAAAACTGATGTTGATTCCTAGCTTGAAGAACATATGGGAAGATGCCAGTACCTGGTTCAACACTTCAGGATCTCCCTGGTTCCTGGAAGCCAGTTCAGACATTGCCCACTGCCAGATACTGGCCAATGGTGCACCTCACTGGCCTTCTCTTTTTGTCACAGATTAGAGAAACAATTTAGACCATGTGCTCAGGCTGCTCAGTGGGCAAATCAATGGCAGGAGACATTTTGACAGGTAGCCCTTATGCTTTTATGCATTTGCAAAAACTAAAATTGATTCACACAAATAAACTGGTTTCTTTGAACTATACATCATGCTATGTCAGTTACCTGCCTGGCCCCAGAGAGATTCTGTTTGCAGGCTGTGGTCTGAGTCCTGGTATCTGTGTGAAGCAGACAGCAGCCACAGCAGAAGGTGGGGACAGGAAGACCCCAGGAGTCTCTGCAATTGTCTACCAGGGACAATTGCAGAGCTGGAGCCCAGGAGAGGCTTGAGGGCGAGGAAGAGGTGGGGTTCCTCTTGAGGCTGCATTGCTAGCTGGGACACCGCTCTTACTTGGAGTGCCTGCTACGCGTTAATAACCTCAGCAACATTCCCTAAAGGTGCTTCCTAAGGTTAGAATTACATCTATGTTCCATATCAAGGATCAGCACCACGATTTTATTTTTCTCAGGGCTCATTTGAGGGTGTTGTCATGAGTTCTCTGGGCAGCATCACACCTTCAGCTGGCACTCACTTGTTACCTGTTTTTTGTTGAAATAGTTCCTTGTTGCTTTTGGTAAATCATCATCAGAGGTGAAAAGAACAAGCCAGCTGGCAGAGTTCAGGGACTAGGCCAACTCTTAAAGCTAACTGTAGTCGCTTAGCAGTGGTGCAGGAATTAGGGGCAGACTCTCAGGTTATGAAGAGAAAGATTGATCTGGATCCACTGATCAACTGAACCAGGTCTTTGGTCATTTTCTCAAGATCCCTTAACCACTCAGCCATGGAGTCAGAAAGACTTCAGGTTCTCAACACAGCCCTTCTTCTCACTGAAGAACAGAGACTAAGAGCACTAGTTTCTGCTAAAAGCAGGAAGAATTTCTTATATCAGGGGCTCTCTGCCTTCACTAGTCACACATACAATTCACAGATTTGCAGGTTTTCCTGGGACCATATATTTCGAAGGAAGAAAAGATTCAGATGTCAAATTCTACCTGCTTTTAAAACACTTACAGAAAAATGATGGAAGCAATCCATGCCACATTAATTTAAACAACACAGGGCATAAAGTGTAAGTTCTGCCTCAACTCCACTCCCCAGGGACAATCACTGTTCACAGATTTTCACCTGCTTTTAACATTTCAAAGAGAGCTGTCAAATTCTTGCTTTAAAAAAGGAAGAAACACCTCGGGCTCTTTAGAAAATTCAAAATCTCATGTTGGGTTGAGAAAGGTGAAAATGAGAGGCGTTTTAACAGGAATACCTGTTAGTTTTGAGCATATGCAGTTTTGGTACAAAAAAATACTCAAATTTGAGGCTCTAGATGATTTCCAAAGGTGATTTTGAAAACTTGGCTGCCTTCCTGAGAAGAAAAGTTCTCCAGAGACACACCTAACATACTGGGGAATTTGTAAGGAAGACATTTTTTTTTTTTCAATTTAATTTGTAATTTCTTTTTCTTTTTTTTTTTTTTGAGACAGAGTCTCGCTCTGTCACCCAGGCTGGAGTGCAGTGGCCGGATCTCAGCTCACTGCAAGCTCTGCCTCCCGGGTTTACGCCATTCTCCTGCCTCAGCCTCCCAAGTAGCTGGGACTACAGGCGCCCGCCACCTCATCCAGCTAGTTTTTTTGTATTTTTTAGTAGAGACGGGGTTTCACCGTGTTAGCCAGGATGGTTTCGATCTCCTGACCTCGTGATCCGCCCGTCTCGGCCTCCCAAAGTGCTGGGATTACAGGCTTGAGCCACTGTGCCCGGCTTAATTTGTAATTTCTAAGACCAGTTAGGAAATTGCCTGAAGCGTCCCCACCCTTTACTGGCAAACCACTTTGGGCGTGAGTTCCACACTTCACTCCCAGTCACCATGCTCTTCTTTCAAAAGCGTTTTATAGACCCCCAACATTGATCAGAAATGACTCTCCCACCTTATTTACTTAGAAAACTGCAGCTCAGCTTATAATGAAGGGAGGCACCAGGCCTGGACACCATCCTTTGTTTGTCTCCTCATTTAATTATCTCCCCACTTCAGGGAGACAGGCATTTACTTGTTGCCTTACTCAACAGGGAAAGGGAACCTTCCCTTCACTCCATAAAAAAGGTTGTGGGAATTTTTCAACTGGAACCAGATCTGTCTGACTCCAAAGGTTCTTTCCAGAGTTCTGTGAGAGCTCGTGCACAAATGAGAATAACTCACAATGCTGATGTTCAGTGTACACACACCCGTCACAACCTGTAC